GTAAGATAGATGGCCTTTATTCATTAAAACTTAGGTCCAATGGGTATGAATTAATGGACTAAGCCCAGAAACGTGTCTCAAAAGCCCAATTTAAATTATCAAAACCCATTATTATAAAACTCAAATAACAAACCACCTTATCGAAAATCAATCAGAATCCCAGTTCCATGGCTCTTATCTGCCTACTCTCCGGCTCACTCCCCCTTCTCTTCCTCCACCATCTCCTCCTCTTCAGCGCGTTCCGGCCTGTTTCCGGTGTCGGCATTAACTACGGAACTCTTGGAAACAACCTTCCTTCACCCAAGAAAGTAACTCAGCTCCTCCAATCCACCTCACTCGTTAAGGTCAAAATCTACGAGACCAATCCGGAAATCCTCGAACCCTTCTCCAACACTGCCATTGATCTCATCATAGTAGCCGGAGAAAACCGGGTTATTTCCATTCTTTTATTAAATTTCTTTTGTTTATTTAACCGGTTAGACCGATCCCACTGACCAAACTAATCTGTCAATTTAATAAATATTATTAAATTTATTTTATCAATTATAAATTATTTTTATTTTAATTAAACTGATTAAAATCAATTTTATGTTCATTTGTCAAAGTAGTTATTAATTTTTAAAACTTTATTTTCAAAATTTATTGATTTGAAATTAATTTCATTAATTAAATTTATTAAAATACAAAATATAGTTTATTTTATTAGTCATCTAAAACATTGATATCATATTTAATTATAAAATTATTTTTTTTTGTATTGATTTTATTTTTGAAATTGATTGAGATTAATTTTCATTTTTAAATTGATTTCATTTTAGTTTTAAATTAATTTCATTCATTTTATAATCTAAATAGTCATTTATTTGATTTATAAAATTAAATTAATTTGATTCTAAATTAAAATACTCTATAATTTGAAATAGTAATTTTAATTTTAAATTAATTTTATTTTAAAAATCAATTCAAATTACATTTAAATTAATTTAAAAATTTTCATTCATTAATTGAGTGATTTGACTTTAAATAGATAATTTAATTTAATTATTATATTAATTATAAATTAATTTT